ATAAAGGATGTTTGAGTCTTTACTGTGATTTAAGGTGGAACCAGATTCTTCTTTTTTATTTCCTTTGATTCTTAAAGAATAAGAGTCATTATCTGAAATCTAAAAGTATTAAAACCTTGGCACAGTTTGACTCTCACTTTTTCACATTCTAGGTTGAGCTGAAGAATAAATGAAAATGTTGGACAGCCACAACCAAATAGATTTCTCCATACTGTGTTTCTAGTCTAGATGGTTTCAAACTACAGTTTCCATATTCCTGATAACCATGGTTCATGGCCAGAGCAATACAAATTGCAATCTAAATATTTAGAGATCCAAGATCAGAAAGCCGGTCTATAGTTATTAAAAATCAAAATTTCATGTAACTCTCTAAAGTTTCAGAGGTCTATACAAACTCAGTTAGATGGGTCAACCATAGAAGGCAGCTTCTTCAGTGGAACACAACTCCCTGCATTGCATCGTCTGGAAGTTCTTTAACAAAAATAAGACACTGAGAGCTACCTTTTCTTCTGCTAGAAGCATAATAGGGAATTACTATTTTAGTACTCTAGTTACTATTCTATTTACTATTATTTTATACAATTTTCTTCCATTTTAGCTAGCAACCATATCCCAAAATGGAATATACATTTGCAATTGAAAAGTACAGTATTTAGAGAGCTAATGTGAAATCTCTGAATTAGGACCAATCCAAAATAACTGACAATAACCTTGTTGCCTAAGCTATCTATCTGATATGTTTGTGTGTGTAGGAAAGCAGTTCTAGGTTGCCTACAGTTCAGGAAACTATAGCAGTATGCAAGAAATCAGGAGAAAATTTCCTCTTCCTCCTCCAAAATGTAATTCCCAAGATTCCAGGCAAGATTTAGCAAACTTTTAGAAACTAAAAAGCTCTGAATCTACTAGCCAAGAAGGATATTAGATTAGATTTCATTAATTTCTGTTTGTGACCATTACGCTTAACAACAAGAATAACTGATATTCTTCCCTGAGTTTCATTATAGAGGAATATATACAGAATGTAACTACTCTGAATTACACTCTCCCTGTCTACTAAATTTGAGCACTAAAGTGGATAGCAATAAATAAATAAAACGCATAAGGCAAAAAAAAAAATTTTTAAGTTCATTAAGGGTAATAAAAATATCAATTAGCAATCAAAGACTCTTAAGAGAGATTCACTGCTTCACTGCTTTTCTGAAGGATTAAAAAATGTAATGGCAAGGCAAAATTTGTGTATGCCAAATAAGCAAGTTCCTAATAGCAGGAGCATCTTTAGAAAGGCTTTTCATGAAGATTTTCATTGACTAGTCATAATCCTAATGTGGAAAAAAAGGGGTGGGGGGGTTGGTTGATCAGTTCCTGGGTAATCTAGAGCTAGGTAACAGGAAAACAGAGCATATTTCCATGCACCCTCTTATGATTTGGGTACCATATGTCACATAACATCCAAGCTGTTGCATTTCAAACCATTTTTAAGGGAACCTACATAAAGTGCAACGAAACCAACAAACCCAGATATAGAAAACTGTGGATGCCATACCTCTTATATTGGTATTAAACCAGTATCTCTTTATACTGGTATAGAACCAGTACAATTGTCACAGCGTAGAGTTCCCTTTGCTAGATAATTATAGTAATGACATTTGGTTGCAAGCAATGAGAACAGGACTGATGCCAGTCTATCTAAATGCAGCGTATGTATCTCTTATTCTCAGTCCCTTGACAGTTCATGAGCCTAGAAAACAACTTGCTCTTCTAGGGGTTTCAGTTATCCTTGGCTATGTCTCTCACTACAAATAAACAACTGTTTTACAAAGGCCACAAAGTATTCTTTTCCCTACAGGAGATGGCAAGTCATGAAAAATAAGATGAGAACTGAGAAAGCTATTTACATCTTTTAGATGATCCAGTTTCCTTGTTGTCTGATAGGAGGGAGTCAGGATCACTGGGTAATTGTAGTTAGCATCATCTTGTGCATAGTCAGATTTATAGACTATCTGGAACACAAAGAGCACAAAAACAATCATCTTTTTTAAACCATCGATTTTTAAATAGTTATAAGACAAGGGGGAAAGGAAACGATTAAACTTCACCAACAAGCAAGATCAGGATCATCCAAGATAACTAAATTGTTCACAGAGTTTAAATGCTGCATCTTCTTCAGCTGTGGATATATGCCACTCTGAGGTATGGGAGAATTCCCTTCCATATGTGTCACAGTTCTTTAGTGTCTTGTACATTTGTACATTAACATGCTTCAAGGGATGTAAGTAAGAAATGCCATCTCACTCAATTTCATAAATATTGGATTAAGTACACTTGTTCTTAAATGCTGCAGTATCAAAATAACAGGTGGCAGAAACAGCAGTTTATGAACTGAACTTTTATAAGCATGTGGGAACAAAGAGAATGCTCTTCCTTAAAAATTAATTCAATTACTTTAATGCCTAGTTCCAAGACTCATAACATGTCAATTAACAAAATACATTCTAAGAGGAATTGAACCACCTGCCACATAATTGTTTCTTCTAGTAATCCAAAATACATGTTTACTGGCATGATATATCCTTATGCAAAAATAATTTTTAATATGTCTTTTGAACAGTACAGAAATATATACAGTCATTCCTGCAGCTCTTAAGAAATAATTAAAAGTGTGGCTCTCCTTCATTTCAGGAAGCAGAGTAGATATCATTTTGAAATGAGATATAGACAATAATTAAAGAAAATCTGATTTAAACAGCTTACATTGCTTGCCAAACTTCCAACCTTCATGGCATGCAGTGTGCGTCGGTCCATGCCAACTCCTTCATAATGACCTTTCTGGTTCTGGTAATGTTCTTTATATTTGAGCTGAACACAAACACAAATAATCTATTGTATAAGCTATTGTACTTATAAAACATCCACTTTTTTATGAACAAAAGGCCAGAGGCAAAACCAATTTAACCATACTGATTTACAACTTCAGTATAGATTTTTAATAAAATATCATGTCTTCCCAAATACATGTTACAGTGTTGATATTAAGACCCTTTCTCATCATAACACATATAATATCCAAATTCAATTGCTGCTATCGAAAACTGATAACAAAATGTTATTGAGTTATAATCTGTGTGGCCTATATTTTGCTCTTTCATTTAGAATTCAAAATTGATAACTAAGGCTACTTGATAATTGAGGCTATAAACAAACGTAGATGAAGATAATTAATATTAAAATTAACATAAATTATTGGATTAGTGATTAAATTATATGCAATCTCTTTTGCAATGCTTTTTGTGTTTTATTTGTTTTTTTAATGAAAGTCACTTATATAGAAACGATAATTTCAACAGTACCTAAATTAAGCTTTTGTAGAAGTGCATACAAATAACTCAGACTTACATCACTGGTATATTTTGAGATCTTGTTAACATTCCTGAATTGAGGAGTCTCGCAGTAGTTAATACTATGGCCTTTACTGTTCTCCAGATCCTTCTTATACTCAACCTTAAAAATTAGAATTAACAACAACAAAAAGCTGTATGTAAGGTGATAGCCTGACAGACAGACAGACAGAAAAAATGCTCATATATCAGCTCCATTTTTCAGATGAAAAAGAGGATCACATGTCAGGACACTGGCACAGCTGATATACTCTGACAATATTGCCCAAACCTATTGTCTATCACTTTCATACAACTGCAGAATTTTATTTGCTCTGGTGAAGCTTCTCTTGCACTAATTTAATTTTTTTTAAAAAAAAATTATTAATTTTCCAAATTTAAAAAAACATAAAACAAAACTTTATACATTGTTATCAACATCAAGACATCTTTTGCATTTCCTCACATTTTTCAGTATATGTATTTACTTATTCCTTTACCATTACATTCTCTTGCACTTATTTAAAATAAAAAATATTTTTATATGAAAAAGTAAGGGATGATAGAACAGTGGTAGTTTTAGAAAGAAGCTATCAATGTTTCAGAGGTAGAATGTAACTCTGTGATAAGTATAACAAAGTTACATGTAAATAACTATAATAACAAAATAATAACAATAATTTAACTATAAACATTGTATCTATATTTACTGTCAATCAAGATATATGATTTTACCTCACTGTACAACTTGGTCACATCCTGGGCTTGCTTAAGAGCTAGATTTTCTTGGGCTGAAAGACAATGGTAATGGGCTGCTCCTTTCATTTGCGAAAAATCCTTCTTGTATTTAATCTGAAAAAGAAACGTGGTATAACAACTACAGGCAAACCATACCTTTCATTGGCTGAAGATTGGTGAGACAATCATTTTAGTGAACCTATCATTTACCCCATGGTTCTATTTGTTCAATAAATTATGAAAAAGAAATTAGAATATACAAAGACAAAGTCAGGTACAAAGTCAGGTTGAACTGATCATGCTATTAATCTGCTTTCAAATACAATATTTTTGATTTACTTTTTCCATTTTTCAAACTACGAATAGCTGCTTCATAGTGATGTCAACTAAATTGTGGAAAGGTGAATATGCTAATATATTTTTTCCACACTAGCAACTTGCTTTAGCAAATAGCAGGTTCTATATCAAATAACAGTTTCAAGATATATTATTTACAGAAGGAAAATAATATGTTGTTCTTTTCTTAAAATTTTCTTTCACTGTCCATCACAATATTTGAGACTGCATATCATGCTGCATCTGATATGTTTGCAATTTTGTTATTTTATGAATCTTATTGCATTCTAAAAGCAATGTTTGTATATTTATAAGCAACAATACATTGGAAAAAAATACCATAAAACTCCAGGACTATTTTGTTCTTATTCATGAGATAAACTTTATACTAAAACCATATCTCTGTCCAATAAATCAAAGAAACTTTGGAAACACATTTGAGGAAATGTCTTTCAGTATAAAAATAATTTGTTCTATCCAGTTGAAAAATATGAAAACCAAAACATTATAATAATCTTGAGATTTAAAAAATTGATTCAGCTCCCAGTCAATTCTATAACCCATGTCACACAAGTTGCTATATCTCATTTTGGCATACTTCACAGGATTGCTTTGAAATAGTAGTTTAGATATTAAATGCTGTGTCAGTTCTTTATGCAAAATATACAAAAATAATTTTCATTAATCACATACATTGAAAAAGTAAATAAACTATGTCAGTTTATTTTTGAATATGTATAACTAGAAAACATTGCAAGATGTGTGTGAACCACCTGTTCAGATCTTTTATCTGTATCATTACTACAGACTTTAAAACATGTAGAATGCTAGAATTCTGTATTTAATTATGTGCCATGAGTTATGGCTGCTTCTTGGAAACCACACAGACTGACCTTCCACAAGGTGAGTACTAGGAAACCAACAGTTTATTTAAAGGTAAATATAGAAGATGAGTATTTCTTCTTTTAATAGTAATGAAATATTTCTAACTAAAATATTGCTTCTAGTTCTGAAAGCATGTATTTAGAACATAACCAGAACTCAAACAAAAGGTAATGTGATAGATCACAAAAAAACAGCTAATGTCCTCAAAGGACTTGTTCTTTTTATAGGTTTCCATTAGTTGCTCAAATAATATGACACCACATGAGCTATAGCAAGCATTTTGGATCTGGCCCATGTTAGCTGAGATATTTAAACTCATACTTACATCACTAGCCAATTCATTTGCCTTCTTAGCATTTAGATATGCTGGTGTGATCATAGCAGGGAAACTGCCTTTTCCTCTATGCTCTTCGTATTCGTGCATATAATCCTGAAGAATATTTAGCAGTGATCAATTACTTACTGATTTTTATATCTCATTTTAATATTGTAAGTACTGCCTCCATATATTGCAACATCAAATGGACAATGTAAGAGAGTGGATAGTGAAAGAGCTTGAAAACATCATTTTACCAATATATTTTAATCCCTAACGTGAACGTAAGAAATTATAACCCATATAGAAGACATCATCTTTTTAATCCATTCATTTATTTGTAGATCACACTAAATGCAATGTATGAATTGATATATGTGGTAGAAACAAAATGAAAAGTGTGGTGTACAGTGTACAGTGGTGTGAAGTAAATTTAGCTAGATTTTTTTCTTTATCTACCTTTATTTTTTTTCCTTTACTTATTTTTTGTTATTTTTGCATGATACTACTTACATAAACCCAAGCACTGCAATAGGTCACGTATACTATTCTAAGAAAGCCATACAACCATGTGATGCAGAAAATATGGTATATGAATTTAATAAATGAATATAGTGGAACATATTAATGACTTCCTTGCTAAGGATATGGACAAACCTTTCTCTTATCTTGCCATATCAATGAAGGAAAATAAAAATACTATCTAATAAATTCTTACAAACAGCTGACATACCTAATCTTTGCATCTAGCTGAACCTCCAAATCCTCATTTCATTTTATTCCAAAATTCACCATTTCAATAAGTAGCATGAGGTACAGAATGTGGTGCACTAATGCAAGGGAATCAAAAGTCCTAAACTACAAGAGGAACTACTACTCATAATATATAGACTGAAACCACTATTTTAGAAGCAGAGTGAAATAGAATACATGTGAATACATTTGATTGTTACCTGATTAAATTGATCTACATTTTCTCTTAATGTGCCAAGAGAATGACTTGCTTTTCCCTTAATTTCTTTTTCATATCTTTGGTGATACTTAACCTAAAAGAAATCATAATAAAAGAAATGAGTTTATTCTGACATTCTTTTACGTCTAAGACTGATTGACTATTTTCTATATAAATGTGCAAAACATAAAGAAGTAAATAAGGTACAAAAAAGAAAAAAGTGGAAGAAAAAGAGAGAAAACATTACCTACATTACAATACAATAAATCTATTGTGAATATTTTGTGTAAAAATGCAAAAAAAAAGAGCTTGTGATTTATGGCTTTCATGATTAAAAAGGAGATAGAAAGAAGAACACACAAGTTAAGAGAGAAAGCTTAAAATATAATTTTGCAGTGAAGAAATTGGAAACCACATCTGTAACTTTTTTCATTTTTTTCTCTTTTTCTTCAGTTGTTTTGCTTTCTTGCACTTTTTGCTTTCTCTTTGTTTCTTTTTTCATTTACATTAGTGTATACTGGTGATTATCTCCTTTTCCTAAAACTTCCCAAAAAATCATATTTAAAAAAAAAACAAGTAGCCAATGACACTGTTCTCACATCAGTCAAAAGATTGATGGGATTGAATTTAATTCCTTCCGTGACTAAACATAAGCATTTGCAGCTAATTCGTGTATCTAGGAGTGCCATCTTTCCACCATTCTGAGATTAATTTGTCCTTCTCTTGCATCCTAAAATTTATTTTTTTAGCATAAATGTTCCATAGTAAGGATATCTGTCCTTTCAAAACTAGGGTGCCGTAATATTTGTAATTTTTCCCACTGAAGAAAATCCTTAATATTTAAAAAAAGTGATACTGATATAGCTTTGATTTAGCATGACTTACAGAACATATGTTATCTTATAGACAGAATGTGTTCTATTCATGACTTGTAGAACTTACATCACTAGCAAGTTCATTGGCTCTTTTAGCAATCTGATAAGCTGGTGTTATCATAGCAGGGAAGCTTCCTTTTCCTCTTTGTTGTTCATACTCTTCTGGATATTTAAACTGAAAAAAGTCAAGAATGTGTAAAGCTATAGCAATAGTGCTATAAACCCAATTCATATAAATCATGGCATAGGTTAATATATAAAATACATATAATACAATACATATTGACTAAGGCAAAATTAAACAAGTCACACAATTATTTTACATGATATATCAGTCTAGCTATAGAAAGATAGGTAAGAAATAGTAAGAAGACCCACTTTGTAATTTTTCTTTACACTTACATCACTCATGAACTGGCCCCCAGATGTTTCATGAAGTATTTCTGGAGTATCCATAACACTGCTGAATTTGGAAACATGCTCTTTATGTCCCTGTTTGTATTCCACCTAGAGATGGAAAGAAGACAATATTTATTGAAAATAAATAAATAAAGATCTTATTTCTTGCTAGTAAACATAAAAGGGAAGGAATGGATTTTCATTTGGTTTCAGTTTCTGAAAAGTATTATATTTTGGATTGAAATGATTTATTCAACTTCTGTACCTATACCTTTATAGTCTACTTATACTTGGTTTGATTTAGGTCGAAATATATGCCCACTCTTCTTTTTTCTTTTTCTTTTTTTAGAGCCTCTAACCTGCATAATTGGAAATTCTGAAAATTACCATGGAGCGCTGAGTGTAAGATTTTATTATACACCGGTGGTACTCATGGACTAAAAGGTTAAAAGCACTGATTTTTGTTTTATTTATGTAACAGAGATGTCTACACCTATTCTTATGTCATTAATACATGAACTTGAAATCCTGTATTTTTGTTAAATAAATTGAAATAAATCAGAATTAATTACACTTTCTCAGGGTGAGTCTTTAAATTGATGCAGATTATAGAGTTTTAGTTATTGTCTGATTCCTTTATCTTGATACAATATTTTTTGAGTTATTCTCAACTATTAAGTTGAATTTATTGGCTGTTTAGACATACATGAAAAAAGTTCTAGACAGATCTGAAAGAAAATCTACGAACGACTTGAGTGATATTTAAGGTAAGATAGAAATGATTAAGATGACTACGATCAATTTGTACTATAAGATCAATTTATACTATAAGATCAATTTGTAATTTGAAAGAAATAAAAATTATCAATATTTGTACCACAATATTCTTTTAATAGTCAGAATCCTGAACACATTTCTTTGGTAAGGCCAGACTGTAAAAAATTTTCTGTATACATTACAAGTATATATTAAGATAAATTGATACAATTTTGCATACTTTCACCTTAATTGTTCAGAATCAGAACAATCTAAATCAGAAGCAGAATTCAGTTTCTCTTTGGGTTTTCTATTATTATAAGACTCTACTATAGGTATTGGGATATATGCAGGTATTGGGATATATGCATGTATGGAATTCACTCTCAGTATCTGTGCTTATGTCAACAAATGCGCATATGAGCAAGTGTGCAGAATACTGGACCACAACAAATATGAAAATGAGGTAATCAGAATTTTAAAATAGCATCTAAATTTCTTTTTTTTTTACAAAATTTTAACAAGTCCTCTCTGTATTATTACTTTAGTTGGACTCAATATCAATTAATTTATTTATTTTCTAAGTCATCCCAGTCCAGAAGGTTCTGGGTGGCTTAACAGAATTTAAAAACAACAGTATTATATGACCAAAAAAAGTCCATAAAATAGCAAATGTTAGGGGACCAAAACCATCCTTCTGCAACCTTAGCAACTCTTAAGGCATCTCAACCAAGGCCTGAGGGAAAAGCCTCAAGGGTTTCAAACAATGTTTAATGATAAGTACAGTGTGAGCTATACAGTTTTCTAGGTGATATTATTTCATAAGACAGGTGAATATGAAGTGCCATCTTGTTTTGATGAAAGGATGTTGAACTTACATTCTCTGGCCTTATTTGTCAAACCATTATGCTGATTTTATTCTCCACAGGCCAATTAATTGCCAATGATGTTCATTTTAAAACATGGACATGACAATGGATACATAAATATAAATATGTCATATAGCAAAAGCCTGATATTAAGGAAAAAAGTCCTTCAAAACTCTATGGAAATTCTGAAAAGTTTATGGGATAGAAATAACTATTTGTAACATTACCCAGTTTTTAAACAATGATAATTTTAAATACTTTGATCCTCAACTGTTAAAACATTTTTTGTTCATATGACAAAATAAAGGCATTTATTAATCAAAATGCTATATTAGTTTGTTTTGTTTATTTATTAGCAAACTTTATATAGTCACCCATGTCATGAGAAGTGACTCTTGGCAGCATACCAGTCAGAGACTGAATAGACACATGGTTGGCCAAAGAGTAAATATGCACATACACATACACAGAGAGAGACAATTTTATAAGCATTGGATTAAATTCTTAAAGAATTCCCAACCGCTATCATCCTATCCCATAGCACAATTTTAGCTTAAATTGGATAAATAAATAAAATCTCATTGCTCTCTCCTCAAATACATTCCCAGAAACTCACATCACTGGATAGTCCTATGGCCTTCTTGGCAATCTGATACGATGGAGTCATAGAAACTGGAAAGCTTCCTTTTATGTTTTGCTGTTCATATTCCTGATTATTCTTCAGCTAGACAAAACAAATTGTATGCATTTACACATAGTCATCAAATTATTTCCTCTAATACGTGATTTACTGGCACCTAAATTTGCATTGGCTTAGAAACCAGGAGCCTCTGAATTCACTTCTAGTCTTGCTTTTGGACTGGTCACTCTCTCTTAGTCTTAGGAAGGATGTAAAAACATTTCTGAAAATGTTTCCCAAAAAAACTGCTGGATAATATGTCCTGTTGCAGAGAGTTAAGGCTGACTTGAACGCATTGACACAATGCCTCAGAATAACAAGATACTTATGTATGCATTCGTTGGACTAATCAATGCGTCTGCATGTCTGCACTTCTTTTTCACTCTCTCTCTATATGCGTAACAGTCTAATGGAGTAGATTTATATGTGTTCCCTACATGCAATGCTCATGTGCCTCCACTTTCCCCTTGTGTTACATTGACATGTTTTTGTTGTATGTGTGTACTGGAAAGCATATGGTGAACATAAACTGGTCTAGGGTCATGTGATGGTGAAGTAAGAGAAAAGAGTTTAGAAGCTGCCCTTGAAGCTACTGTCTAAATATCCTTTGATCGGGATACATTTGGTGAATGCATTTTTCTTCACAAAAAAATAATATTTCTTTTACCAGTTTCTCAGTTTTCAGAGAGCTGTCCTGGAATGGACAGAGTGCCAACTCGCTTTACAAAATTTATTTCCATTATTCCATTTGACAAGAAAGAATAAAAACTCCAAGGATTCTGCATGATACTCATAAGCAAGCTTATTTTTTTAATTGGAAAAAGAGAAGAATTCAGAGTTTTTAAAATTTTCACTTATTTTGTCTTCATTATAACTTAATCAGAAGATTTTTCCAAAGTCATGAAATAAAATACTGAAAAAAGTCATCCATTGCTCATTTTCTAGTTAGATTTAAATTACCATTTCTACCAAGAGATTTTGTTACTTACTTTCATTTGTATCATGTCTTTTTTTCCACAAGTTTAATACAACAATTTGATTCCATTGATAACATTTCATTTAATTTAGACTTATTGTTCAGATTAAGAAGTGAATTTTATGATATAGCAAAAATTTCAACATGGATTATTTTCACATATAAATTCAGCAGACAAAATGTCACAATTATTTATCAAACTTAATATATTGTCAACTGTTGAAATCTTATTAATAAATAACATTGATTAAATACAACTTCATGGGATACTATTTTAAAATTTACACTGGAATAAGACAGGAGACAGAATGAGAATTAACTGAATTTACATATGATATGTAAATATCACCTCTGGGTAATTAATTATAATTACCAGGATTCTAAATAATTTTAATAAAACATTACAAACAAAAAGTTATTTCTTCTTTATAATCACCTATGCTTTTAAAAAAACTCTGTGATGAGATGAATACAAGAAGAAGAAGCTAATAGAGAAGAAATTATTTCTTTAAAAACAGATATACAGTCACTGAGGTTCAAATAATTCTTTCTCTATCAGTTCCATACCCTGTTCATACATTGTTGGCAACGTACAGGTAATTCCCCAATATTTTAAACAAAGTGAATACAGTCTCTGAAGGCTGTATGTGAAAGGAAGAAAAAGGATAGCATTTTATTTCCACATATTTCCTTAAGTTAGTTAGCTGAGGAGCTAAACTTGCAAGACAGATCAATGTAATAAAGTAGTGATTAACTTACATCACTAAGACTTTTCTGTGTTCGTGCTATCTTGATCATTTCCAACTGTGGGATAGTTTCTCTATGCCAAGATTTGCTTTCATTACATACATCATGGTAGGTTTTCTAAAAAGAATAGATGTATAATAAGAAATTAGTAAAAGATTACATCCATTTTTATTAGGTTTCCAAAAATGAATTAATTTTCTAAGTTGTATTTATAAATAGAAGACTGGATGTGCGCATGTCTATTTTATGTAAAATATAAAATCAATTTTACACTTTTTGATCTTATTGCTTTTGCATAGGATCTGAAAATATCATTTCCCCTTTTCTTCTGTTTATTCACACTGAACATGAAGAGTGAATTACATAGAACTGTTTCTTATTTTAATGCCAGGACATTTCAGCAAGCTGGATATAGACTAGAATGCCTAACCAATAAAGTAACATCCTAATCTTCTCTGTCTAGTACATCTGACAGAAATACAACATTATGTAATTGCAAGGCAGTTCATATTTTGTTTTTGATATTGATGAATTTGATATTCATGAATCTAACTATAGAGTCTCTCTTTAAAAATTCAGCAACCAGTTTTTTTTGTTTACAAATATATATCCCATAACTACAGCATAGTTTGCTCAAATATATATATGCATATATGCATTTGCAGACTCGAATATAAATTAACCACATGGTCTAAATTCACATAATCACATAAGCAAAAAGATGGCTGGCTGCTGTTGGTGATATTGTATATTGCATAAATAAGTCTCAATAGAGTTATCCTATAAGTAAAAATCATTTTGAGTTTCATCTTCCCTCACAATTACTTTTAATATATGATAGAATTAACTTTTTTCTATCTTTAAAATAAAATTATAAATATCTAACCAAAACAGCTGAAGATGAATGTGACATAAGTATAAATAAATATGAAATTCTTTATGTCTCTACTCAGAAGTAAATGCTTTGCTTGAAGCCAGAAACTACTCAGTTTCTTATCAAGAAAAGCAGGTGGATAGACAAGATAAAGTAACAATATAGGGCCAGACAATGGACTCTTTGGATAACACTCAAAGAAGAGCAAGGCATCTTCTTACTCAAGGCACAAATAACCAAGCTCAGGTTATCATATTGTAGAAACATTATGCAAAAACCCAGCACTCTTGAGAAGTACATAATGCGGAAAAGTATGGGGCAGGGAGGTGTTAGGAATGTAAGTCACCTAACAGTTATTTGGGTTGGAAACATATAAACTAGGATAGACATTTTAATACTGTATCTTCAAGAGAATGCTAAAACTGTAATTGGGTGTGGTTTCTCAAACGGCCATAAGATGGAGCCAGAAACCTGGGTTGTTTAGTCTCAGTGAGTTTCTGTTCCTTTTGTTGGAGAGTGTTGCCGTTCCTCCTAATGACTGTTACTGATTGTTGATGTAAGTCTGTTACTGAACTGTTTTTAATACTGGACTTTGATATTTGGATTATCCTTAAACTGACTGATTTACCTGTGAATTACTTGGACTGCTTATCTTGGACTGTGCTTAAACATTTATTGGAAGTAAAAACCTACATTTACTGTACAGTGTATCTGTGTGCTGTTTGTGTGTTATTCTTCACCACTCTCATTACGTCTCCCTGTACGCGCTCATTCTCCTAATGGGGAATTACCTCAACAGGGGGCATGCTAGAAACTCAATTATAGCAACAAGGGATGTGCCATTGGGAAATCTGAACAGTCAGGTTTCTGATCTAACTATCTGGTGGCACAAACAGTACAATAAAACTGTGAAGAGCTGAAGTCTCTGTGAAAAGTATTAAGTCTTGATGACTTAAAGCTTAAGAGCTTTTACCTGACTTATTTGTTGCATTTTCTGCATGGCTTCCATGTCTCTAGATTTTACATCCCAGTGAAAAACAGACTTGAATTTCTCACCCTCTTCTCTATATTTAACCTGTATAAACATACAGATTCAATTGTAATGAATAAAAAAGGCATTGTATTAAATAATAGCTATAAAGCAACTATACATTATCTTAGTGTACTAGAACTTGAATTTTCAAGTTCCTCAGTTTATACTGTATATTTCAAAGAGACATTAATCAGAAAGCACAGGTTTTAAGATTTAATTTTAGAAAAGATACATAAGACAGTGCAAATTATATTTAATAAATTTTAGTTATTTTATTTAAAAAATTACCACTTCATAATTTGGAAATGTACATAAAACAGTTGACAACAGGACCCAATTTGCCAAGTAGAGTACTCGGTACTGCATCAGACCAGATTCCATCCTTTTCTTCACAAGGTATCCTAGCATATGATATTTGCATGTGATCCTAGACTTTCTAGAAACATTATATACCTCACTATTTATCAGTTTCAATGCCTAAACTAAGATATGCTTTGAGATTTGGTGCCAACGATTTTCAGGCTAGAGGTTCTGGGGAATTGCAATGTGCCAAAGCTGTTCTATTTGATATTTTAAAAAAACCATTGATAACATGATCTGCAGAAATCTCTTTAAGAATCATTACCTGAACACATGTAGCAGATCGTATACTAGATCTGATTTACTATTGGAAATGTGTATCCAGAAGAATTATTTTTATATACTTTTTATCCTATCAAACATTTGGAATTTTTTACATGGTCAGACTCGGCAGTGATTTCCATAACAACATATTGTTCAGTTGCATTAAGTAACTTCTAAATAGCAAGAAAACAGATTTGGAAGAGACTTGTAGGTCATCTAGTCCAACCCTCTGCTCAAGCAGGAGACCCTATACCATTTCTGATGTTGTATGTAAATTCCAAGAAAGTGGACAAGGGTCTCGAACAAATCTTGACAACCACCACTACATTCAATCCTTGTCTATTTTGGTGTGTTTGGACTTATAAGAAAGGAAGAGATAGTTAAGTTCTCAAGATCATTAATTTTGCACTTTGAAGTAAGTTGTTTTCAGACTTTCCTCGGAAAACAATACTCTGTCTCCTCAAGTAGTAAACTATAGACTTCCTTAGGAAAAATATTGGAATGTGTAGCTTTCTATCAACTCTAGGCAATTTACATGAAATTAATTTGATCTTCTTTAATTAGCCTTCTCAGCTTTCTTGAGAAAAAAAAATGATGCTGTTATTTCTTTTGGACTTCTCAGCAACTTTTGATAGTATCTATGACAGAATCCTTCCAAACTGAATAAGCTGGATGCTTACCAAAATAAATCTTTCATTTAAAAAATGACATTGTGAAAAACAGCTCTTATAAACTCCCTTTAAATTTTCTCTTAAGCTTCTTCTTCTTTTTTTATTAAATAGAGCAGGATATCTTCTATATGGCAAAAGGAAAGGAAAAGTAATCTCTGGTTTTTCTAGCACTCAATTTACTGGAAGTAACAAGATATCCTATCATGACCTTCAAACGAAAATAGATATTGCTTTTGACTCCTGACTTATTCCTGACCAGATATTTCATGCTCAGTTTAAAAGAAATATAATTGTTGTTCTTGTAGGTTTATGAAGGGATAATTCAGAAGTATAATTTTAATTTTTTGTCAATATATATAAGAAATTTCAAGAAATTACCCGAAAAAGTAATATAGAATGACAGTCATAAAGCTGTAACAACAATGCCCATCATACTTCAAATGAAATAGAAGCATCAAATATATATCTATATCATACATACTACATCTGCAAACGTCCCACGCTTACTCAGGAATAAGTCGTGAACTAGGAGAATTTATATCAAAGCAAACACATATTGGATTGTAGGAGATATTTTCCGTTTCAATAGTGAAAACTCATAGGCAGTACAAAAAGAACCAAAGCCAGAAATTTAGAAAAGCTGTAACTGATAGCACAGTAATATTTATTAAAAGTATTTGGACATATTTCAAATGATTCTTTTTGTTGAATAGGGAGGAATGGTATCTAGCAAACTCCATACTGTTTTACCAGGTTTTCCCACTGCAACTATGAAAAACTCATTTGACTTTATATTTCTGCTTAAAATAGAATACCTCAGGGTCAATGTCAAATTCAACAGAAAAATAATAGTTTATTTTTAAGCTAGCTAGCAACTTGGAGAAGTAGAACAAATATAAATTTTAGTGGAAGGAATGAAATTGTTATTTCTATAGTTATCTAAAAAAAACAAATCTAACGTTACAATGTGATACAAAGCACATCTTACCTCACTTATTGCTTCAGACTGCTTTTTCACATTCATATTTATTGGTGTCTCAAAAATACTTGTGAATGTATTGTTTCTGGGGTTATGTCTATGAAAGAAAACAGCATAATTTTATAGAATTATTATCAATAATCTCTAAAAGGATAGCATTCTTTTAAATAGATACTCATATAATCACCTGACACTTAATTGATCACTGAACAAATTCCACTTAAAAAAACTGGGGGGGGGGGTGTTTATCATTTAACTTTGGCAACAATTGATACCTTTATATATAATTATAAGTGTAAAAAATGTAATGATTGTGTTTCAGGCACTGAATATTTAACTTTTTAAATATGTGGTGGGTCCCAAAGCATAAGGAGCGCTGTTACCTTCCCACTGCAGTGGTACATAACAACACTCCATGACATCATGCTGGCCATATGAACACGGAAATGTCTTAACACAGCACTGGCTCAATGGGCTTGAAATGGAGATGAGCATCACCCTCTATATTGAGCAACCACTAGCAGAATAAATCTGCAGGATTTCCTTTTTTTACCTTTTAATGAAGCATAAAGGAAACAACTCATTTGATATTACTAAGAAATACAACACTATAATGTCTCTGCTCTTAATCAAGATATTGGGCCTTTCTCACTACTCTGAGTTAAAATATCATCCAGACATCCTTTAGTTATCATGAAACCAAAATAGCACTAAAATGTGCTAGCTCTCCTACTAGTCTCTATTGTGTCTGTATTGCATCTCTTCTGAGTCACTGCTAAATGGTGTTCTAATTTGTGAGAAGGCCAGGGCATTATTTTTATATTCTGACTTTGCCGACATCCTTTTTTCCGTGTGTCATCATACAGCAAAGAAAATGCCCTCTCATGATGGCACTGTTACATTGAGATCAGAAGCCAAGGACCTGAGATCTGAGCTATTACAATCACTATTCCAGGTGTCAATAACTATTCCCAGGTATCTCAGGACTTCGCCTACTGAGAAATAAGTGGCTGTCAGTCTATTGCAATATAAAGAGATGAGAAAGGGACATGGGATTTTAATTGGGGATTCTTTTCCTCGCTTCTCTCTTAAATCAGAGAGTTTGTCTTGTTTTTTGTGATATTCAAGGAACTAGTTATGATAATATATTTCTAGTGGTTTTCTAATGCCTGTATTAAGAGTATACTATCAAGGCTATGTTCTCAAATCTCTGCCTGTGAGCTTTCTAATTCAATTAGTCTTGATGGTGCCTGATGTGGGAATGGGTTTAAGAATGGCCTAACTTCTCTAAGCTGGTTTGTTTGCCCATCCCGTTTGGTCTTTTCTCAAATTAAGCGAATGAAATATCTCACTCTGAGAGTCCTTTAGTGCAGGACTGATTATATGTGCCAACATAGGAAGTGAAGTCAGGAAAAGAGAATTGTGCCAGTTCTGAAGAACTTATTTTAAAAGTGACCAGAAAATACTCATTAGAATTGCTGATTTTTAGGGCGAAAAATGCTAACAAAAGCGATAACAATGTGACACATTATAGGCATCCATGACTAAACTTGAAATTTCGAAAGTTATGCATGTGAACTTTGATAAATATTCACCAGTCAGCTTGGATTTAGAAAAAAATACATATAAAAGGATGTGCACAATATTGCAACATTCTAAAACATTGTTACTTGTCAATAACTGCACTTTAATGGCAAGTAACTCTAGACAGTTATCTTCCCAGAGAAGGTATTAGTAGCTACAAGAGGGATAGAGAATGTGATTTGGCCAACTGAAGAGTCTCAAATCAGGCCTACTAACACAAAGTGGTCCACTTCCTAATATCATTTAGAATCACTCTAATGCTTCCAAATTAAATAATCCCATAGGATTGGAAGTGATTTATAGTGAGACCATAGAACTAGAAGTATTAACTCTTTTCCTTTGATGGAAGAGGAATTTAAAAACTGAAAAATCAATTGTTGCTAATAACTGCTCTAAATTAAGAAAACGTATTTTTTTCTGGGCTAAGATACACAGTCCAGTGAGCCTTCAAATAGAATAGGACTGTATTGCAAAACAAAATGGGTAAATTCAAAGACAAAAAGAAATCTAATTTTGAGTCTATTTCAATGGCATTTAGATTTAAATTAAACTAGGCATAGGTGATTATAATTTTCTTCCAGATATGCATGGAATTATTTTTCTCTTTTATTAGAAATGACTTTCAGGTAAAAGGGTCTATGACAACCAACAAGTTGTCCCATGGTGAATTTGTTCCATGGTGAATTGGTCGTGGTGAGTTCATCATTGCAAATTTGCCATGGCGAGTTGTTCCATTCTCCTCTGAAACTTCAGATAGAGGCACACAACTTGGAGTTTCAAGTTGTGTGCTTTATATAAACTGGAAGTTTTAGAGTGCACCTATTTTGGTTTTTAATCTAATAACCAATTATAATTCTGATGAACTATAATGCCTGTCATATTTTGAGCAGGCTGGTTGGTAAATCTGTGAGTTGTACCTCAACACATCTGGAGATTAAAAGGTGGGAGAAAACAGAAGAGCCTGTTACTAAGTAAAAGTTATTGAATACCCACTGAATATAAATCTAATTGGGCATTTTGCTTTCTATCCTACTCTTCTAAATTATCATATCTTCAACTGTACTTTTAAACAGAAAACTTAGTTTTAATGCATAATGTGCTGTATTTGTTATATTATCATTAATGCTATGAACAGGTTTTGTTTACCTCACAAATGAGATGCACTTTATTGTCTGACTAAACCAGTAATATTTGAAAATCATCTGAGCAACAATATCAGAATTTAGTTCAATTGAATGCATATATATATATAAAACAGGGTCATATAATATTATAAAACAAAATTGACACTTGACAGTACTTACACTTGACAATATGGCCTTTTCTGGTGGCTAACAAAATTATTTACAGTTAGCATCATCTTACAAACTTCACAGTGAAAGCAGGCTTTATGCCAGGTCTACAAAAGCAGATAGAAATAGGATGAAAATTATTTGTTTTAGATTTTTAAAATTTAGTTTAAAAATTTGTAGCTATTTTTTCCTGACAATTTAATACACATGAGGTATGTTGTAAATCCATTTCTCCTTTAGAATCTTAAAAAAAAAACAAAGCAGTGCAACAAATTTAGCAAATGTTCAATTCTAACTTGGCCATCCAATGGTTATATTGATTAGTATACTTTAGGATAAGTATATTTATTTGAACAAAAGTTACTAAAAGTCATTTCTTCAAGATATCAGAACATTTAGAATAATGGTAGATAGTAATTAACCACTAACCTGATCAATACAATTAATCTTCTCAGCAGGATAGACCCCATAGCCACACCTGGCACAAGATTGAATATTCATATTGAAATTATATTTTAAAAAATTAAAATTCTGAGGGTCCAGTAATATACAAAAACGCCTTGTTTCCTAAGACTCTCGAGTCTGTGCTGTGCTTCTGAGTTGCACTCAGCTGTTGTCTGGCTTTTAAAGCTGTCACTTACTAAGAGGTTATTTTGGCAACTGTGTTAAGAGTTCACAGAGGGAAAGACATGCAAGAATTCAATGAAGCCTTTCTCTAAATAGATGAGTGAAGTCAGAGCGAAGCATCTTGGTCATATGAAAATGAAGGCTATCTAATTGGTAATATATAAAATAGGAAGTTCAACGCTCATTTGTCAGAGTCCAAGGTTTACCTTCTAAATATATTTCAGATCATCTTCAGATTATTATGTATTCACTAAGAGTCTATTAAGGAAAGCACAAAAGGCCAAAGCATTTCAGAGCAGAGACTGATTCCCAAGCTTTCTTTCTTCTCCTGCCCTCTGTCCTATGCAGATGAAAAAAATACCTATTGTTTTTCATAAAGTATGGCACTGTATGGCACAGAAGTGTCTGAAAGAAAGATGTAGGTACCTTTCAAGTTGTCTTAGTGAATACCTATTTGTCTTCATTAGTCCTCATCTTACGATCACAATTGAGCCAAAAATTACTGTTTCTAAGCAAGACATTTGTTAAGTTAATTTTGCTTCATTTTATGATTTTTCTTGCCACTTGTTAACTTCAATTAATAAATCTGCTGTTAAGTGAACCTGGCTTTCCCATTGATTTTGCTTATCAGAAGCTCACAAAAGGTGATCACATGACTCGGGACACTGCAACCACCATAAATGAGTCAATTGCCAAGTGTTTGAATTTTGATCACATAACCATGGGATTCAGCAATGGTCATAAGTGTGAAAATGGTCATTTTTTTCCAATGCCGTTGTAACTTTGAACATCTAGATTTAATCAGATTTCCTCTGTTAAGAGGACCCTGCAATAGCGCAGGAATAACACTAGGAAGAAAAAATTAAGACGAAAGTCTTCTCCCTTGTTTGCTAATTCAAACTCTATCTACCGCCGGAAAAGCATGTCGCCTTCCTTGGTCCTCTCCAGATATGTGAGGATGACAGAACTGACCATAACTGGACGATAAAGCAGTTTATTCCGAAACGGAGGGAGGGGGGGAAATCCGGCTGGCGAAAACTGAAAATCAGTTCCTTAGGGTGGGGAGGAAGGAAAAGCCATCGCCCGGGGTTGTGGCTTGTGAAAACAAACGCTTGTTTCACGCTCAGCCCAAAGGAGGCGCTATAGAGACTTAGCTGGGCCAACCGGGAAGGCGGAACGCTGAATTCAAGTCTCTCCGCGGTAACTTCCTGTGTTGCAGTAAGGAGTAAAGTCTTCTTACCGTTTAGTTTCACTTTTACCTTCGACGTACCGTGGCGGAGCGAGAGGACTAAGGAGGGGAGCGTGTTAGCCGCGGGCAAGTATAGTTTATTTCGAGAAAGAAAGAACCCCTATTTTTTCCCCCAAGGCTCGATTCCCACCTCTATGCTGTCTTTGTACTTCGGAAACTCCCTGGTAGACGACGGGCTCTTTTTCAAAACTTTAAAAAAAGCTGTGCTTAAGTTCTCCTCTTTGTGCTTTAATTCGCTGTTAAACTTTTTGGGACCCGGAATTCGCTCGTAAAAACTTTCAAAAAGTGAGGGAATCTTGCAGGCTTTGTTTCCCTCCCTCCCACCGTATCGTACTTATTCGTGCCGAGGGAGTGCCATTTTTTGCTTTTAAAAACTAATAGTGAAACTAATGGTAATTGCACCTGTTGGAGTTCTGCCTGTTTGATTAGTTTCATGCAGCTAGTCCTCTTCGGCCGGTATCAGATCGCTATTCCAGAAAATACCCCATTGTTCCTTTTCCATCTGGGAAATTTCTGCTTGGCAGGAAAATTAGGATTAAAGGGCAGTTCTATAATTTCAGTTTTCTATGCCAGGATGCTTAGATGCTATTCGAGCATGCGGTCATGGTTGCATTGATCTGATAAGCTTACCCGTGGTTAACTAACTAGTCCATACTTCACTCGGCTGATTAGAATTGCACAACATGAAAAACTATAGGCTATCTACAGTCTGGGTTCTTAGAAGAAACGAAACTTGTAGTGTGTTGTAGAAATTGCAGCTTCTTGCTTTTTTTTTTTTCAACTAATGGATGCAAAACGGCGTGCTTGCTAGAAAAAAAGGAGCAGTCTTATATCGTTTCCTCCAATCTTACTAACTGAAGCATTCTTGCTTATTTTCTGATGGGGGAAAAAAGCTGATAAAGATCAGTTGATGAGATTATCCGGAATACATTTTCAAAGTTTCTGGTTAAAATGAAAGAAAAAAAAACTTGTCAGCAGAAGTGGAAAAAAAAACTAGATTTTTCTGTGTGAAAGAAAAAGAAACCTCCTGGGGGTTGCTCTTTGCCCTGCCAGTTATGGGATCAGAATGGTTATTTCCTTGTCACAAGTCTTTTAATCAAAGCAACCTGATGGTAAAATCCAAAATGTGCTGCTGTAAGGCAATAAATAAGGATGTGGGAGAATTGCCTCTACTGCTTTACTACTTTGCAACTATCCCATTAAGAAAAGAAAGTGCCGCAGTAGAAGCTGGGATGATGCAGAGGATTTCAGGATAGAGTTTCCTTTCCAAATTGATAAGGATACAGGAATAGCAGGCAGGATATATGTTTTCTGTTTGTAGAAGCAAAATAAAGTTGAGTTCTCTCTGGTTTAGTAGACTTTTTGTCTTTAGGAGGTATGATTGGAATTATTCAAGTACCTGCAGTTTTATCCCCATGATATCTCCTAATCTCCATATTGTTTCTGTATGCCCCAAAGTTTGCAAAAAGTATGTCTGTTTTCAACACTTAGAAACTCTTCAGTGGCCCTCACTGTGCCGAGTAAATAACTGGTACAGTCAACAATATGTTATTGTATTTACAGATCATAGTGCACTTTATTAGGCACAAGTTTTCCCTAATATATTGTGAACATAAGTGAAAGACACAACAGTAATTTTAGAGTAGCCTTGGGACATTTTTGCATACCTATAACAGTCACGCCACATATTAGCTGGGATCATTGTACTTACTACATTCATTTTTATTTTTGCACAAATAAATTACTGGGTATTACAGGTATCTTCAAATTGTGGGAGTACTGTTTAAAAAGTACAGGTAATCCTCAACCTAAAGTCATTCATTTAGTGATCATTTGAGTTACAACAGCACTGAAAAAAATTGACCAAGGACATAACCATTGCAACAATCCCATGGTCACATGATCAAAATTCAGACACTTGGCAACTGGCATGTATTTAAGATGGTTACAGTGCCTCAGGGCTATGCAATTAACTTTTGCGACCTTCTGACAAGCAAAGTCACTTAACAAGCATCTCACTTAACTGTGTTACTAACTGCAATGATCTACTTAATCGCTGTGGCAAAAATTGTCATTAAATGGGTCAAAATTTACTTAGCCTCTCTTGCTTAGCAATGGAAATCTTGGGCTCAGTTGTAGTTATAAATCAAGGACTACCTGTATAACCTAGATCCACTTATGCATGAAAAAAATAGCAGCACTGTTCTTTGCTTCTTTAACTGAGCTTAGAACAACGTAAAATATCTAGATTGATATATAAATATATAGTACATAAAGCTAGGGAGCAGTTTAAATTAAGTACCTTAGTATTAAATCCGTGTAATTTCTTCCAGCTGATTTATTTTAAAAAACCTCAAATAGGATTGTCTTGAATTGAGATGAAAATTGGAAAATTAATTCTTGTAACTCATGTAGATTTTTCCTTCCTAATGCTGTCCATTATGAATATAGCGACTAATAGTTGTTTAGTTTCCTACCTTTTATTCAGGTAATTAGTGTTTCTTAAAATTTGGCAATATTATAATGTATGGACTTTTAACTCCAATAATTTTACAGCCAGCAATTTGGGAGTTGAATCCACACATCAAAAATTTGCTAACTTTGAAAAACACTATAAGCAGGATTGATTTGATTTAAATCAAGTCAATTTAAATCATGATTTAAATCACTAGTAAAAAGGCTTATTTAAATCAACTTGATTTAAATTATAATTTTTAAAGAGCATTGTCATCTCTGTCCTACAGCAGCTCCTCCTCTTACATGCTATTGACTCACCAACAGTCTCATTCACGTTAATGGGATGGCTGGTGATGAGACAATGACACAACAAGATTAGGGACATAGCAGGTGAGTGGATATCTGCTAACAGGTGCTGCCATGATGGATCTGAAATGACAGGTGTTCTTTAATATATAAGCTGCTTCACTTCCAGTTTTACTGCTCGCCCTTTCTCTTCACACTTAGAGCCTGGTGGTACAGATGCATTTCTCTTCAAACAATCATACAGTCATACAGTTTGTAGTGTACATAGATGTAGTGTGCAAAACAATGGGATAAAGGAATATTCCTGAACTTTGTTTTGTGATTTATCTCAAAGTTACTGTGAAATTATTGTGAATGCATCAGTGCAGTGCATGTTCTCTCAGCTTGCAGAGCTTGGATTCATTGAATGAGTTTACTAAATGCAAATATTGCAGAATATACAGCCTCATACTACATACCTAAGCTCCCTTTCATGCTGAATAAACTAAACTATTAATGTATCTTAAATAGAAAACAATCTTTATATAGATTTTTTTACTTCAAAAGCATTTTTAAATAAATTTAATAAAAGTAAAAAATAATAATTTAAATAAAAAACCCAATTTAATTTTTTTAAAATGATTTTTTAAAGTTATTTTTTTTAAATCAATTTTTATCCATCCTGTACTATAGCGAACCATTAATGTTTAAATCAGCTTGTATCTTGCAAATTTCAATATTATTACTTTTAGATATGAAATGAAGTGAAAAGTTTCTTACTGAAAAAAATATACAAGAAGTTGAGTCAGAGAATAACACTATTTGTTTGAACAGACTTTTAATCATTTTTAATGATTTCTTTCTATAATGTTCTGAAAATGCTAAACATTATGAGAACTGCTCAGTCCTTCATATTCAATCTCCCAAAATGTTTCAAAGCTCATGAAGGCACCACACCCCTTAAAGCAATTGTATCTTTTCTTGGGAACACAGCAGTATGTTTGGAATTAAGGTGTATACAATTCAGTGGGATATAACTTAGAGCAAGTATGTTCTCTTCATATGTATGTACTTCTCTTCATTTCTCCATGTTAAATAATAAATAAGAAACAAAGAAATTGGATTTCAATACTTTTGTAAAACATTTCAATCTTAAATGCAAATGTCTAATCTCTAGATTCATTTAAAAAAAGAAATATATCATGCTATCTAAAATGATATTAATTGTAAGAATATTGATTGTAGACTCTGTTGCTTATCTAAATATTGGCAGAAGATATCTATTCCCGTGTTGGCACTGATGGCTGAAGATACTAAACATTATGCTGATGCAGTGGATGCAAAACCTTCGAGAACTGATCGGTTATCTATCTTTGCAAAGTAAGAAAATAATTTTTAAATAAGAAATCTTAATTACTCTAAAATGGGTATACAAAAAGTTGTGATAACAGTTCATGTTTAGATTACATGTGAACAAATTATTTTGTGACATAATGTTTATGAATATTTTGATCTATTGACAAATAATCACTTTGATATTTTTGAACACTTTTTTCTTGTAAATTAAAACAATTGAGAATATTTACCGCAATTGGTCATTTATGAAAACATTTTAAACTGTATCCATATGACTATGGGGTCCAAACAGCAATGTATTCTGAAGAATAAGTTTTGATAGTTTGAAAGTTTGGATATTTTACCATTAATCTATACATACAATTATATGTTCATAATGTAGTCTGCTATTTGTGATACTAAAAGTCACGAAGAGAAAGTTAACAAAAAGGGATTTGTCATTCATTATGTGTGTCTGGCACCTAATTGTTAAGAATTTGAAGATAAATGAACAGCAACTCCTGATCAAATTTTGTATTTAAAATGAGACTATTAGCCTACCATTAATTGCATTATTGCATTCCAATTTTTTATTGATACATAATAAAAATGAAAGTTTATACATCTGCAAGTTAAAATTCAAAATGGCACTTTCAAACAGCTGTTTTTAAGGTGAAACATATGAACACTGAACCAGCTTCATTGAAATAAAACATTTGAAATTCAAAATAGTTTGACTTCGATTTTTGCAAGCTACATGAAAATCCCTGCTTAGAGAGAAATGTTTATTATCATCCCCAATTATATATGTGAGTCGCTCGATACCTGTTTTTCACTATGAAACTATGTTAGTCGGGATTAGTTTTTGGGGAGAAAAATAAGGAAAACAAAATTCTTCCTCTGCCTACCAACATCCATCGGTATTCATCTGGCTAGTGTCCTGTCAGTGTGTGAGAGAGTTGAGGGCTGTTTGGAGCCTGAAACAGTATTTGCTGTGTGAGCAAGAAGGAGAGAGAAAGGAGCCTGGGCATGGCTTAGCTCAACTGTTCTGCACTAAAGCTGCTTGGTGCTCTGAAACTGAAACTCTTCTCCTCTACTTGAGTTTTGCACTTGGAACAGATTTCTTTTCAGGCGAGGAGGGGAAGTAGAACTCTTTAGCATCAGAGCATGTTAATAATAATATATGAAACACTAATGCTCTGATGGTCATTTCGAAAAATCCTTTCTTAGTGAGCACCTAGAAGCCAAGAGGAATATACGTGCCACATTTCAAGTTTGTAGGCTTTATGGTTCTGGAGATTTTGTGATGATGCATGAGTGGTATTTCGCTTTTATATATATATAGATTTATACAACCATTCATCTCAGACATTTAAGGAAATAGACTGGATTTTAAATTGTTTTGTTTTGAAAGTTTTATTAACAGTGATTAAGAGTTGTTTTATTTTCCTGTTCAATGTTTTTAGATAGTGGTTTTAAGATGTTTTCTAACATAACTTTACAATACTGACTCAGCTATCCTGGAATAAATGTTTATTCTAAAAAGCAGCATATACATTCTTATTTTTTTAACTAAAATGGATTTACTTTTTTGCCAGGCATACCATATTTTATTCTTTTTATTATACAATAGTCCAAGTCGTACTCTTTAAGATGGGCTTACTTGTAGTATAGTGGAATTTCAAACTAGGATTTCATGTTTACCTATGCAAATCATTCGAGCAACCTCAAATCTGTTCCTCAAAACAGGCAGGCAAAGACTAGGGATGCATTATGTTTTATTTTGGAAGATTTTCTTGGGTCATACATAGTGTGAAATTACAGCTTTCCCAACTGATAACCACCACATCAACATGTTTGGATGTTGCAGTTTTCAGCTAACATCGGTATGGAAGTACACTAGCAATCACAACTGGAGGGTGTAAGGTTGGCTTAAGTGATTCTCTTGCCAGGGTTATGCTTTTTATTTCATTATAACTTGGTTCATATTTTCATACAAACAATGATCAATAAGCTGACTTTAAGGTACAATAGCTTCCATTTCACATGTGAATAACAAAAACCAGGAGCAGCATTTTTATTGGACAAGAAAAACACTATTTAGTATTACAAGCATGGACAGGCACTATGTTGCTAATAAATAGAGAGCATGTTTTTAGGCACCTCGGTTTTGTTTTCATTGCTAAAACATGGCTTAACAACATAAGAGATTAGGGAAGTGAAGAGAAGAAAAGTGGGGTGTGTGTTTTTGTTTCTGATAAGAATTTGTTTCTAGTGAGAGACATGTATTCAAGTGAGATAAAATTCAATTGTAAGCCTATCCTGATTTCTTACATTTGAACATTTCACAAAAGGAGATATCTCTAGGCAAGATATGGCTTGTAGCAGGGATGGGAAAGGTGATTAGAAGCTTGGGTGGGCTTGTTTGAGGTACCTCAGTACCAACTGTACTGAGCAGTTAGTCACACCTGAGTGTGCACACAATTGTGTGCTCTCCAAATCAGGGGTTGCCAACCTTTTGAACCCCAGGGACCACCAAACTCATACTTCTAAATCCCGAGGACTATTAACATGATTTTTTTTAAAAAGCTAATATATCTAATATATTTTTTATAATTTGTATAAAAGATAAATAAAATAATTTTGTAATTTATATTAAATATAAATTATATACACACACACACACATACACACACACACACGCTTATTTAATTATAACAAAAACGTAATGATAACAAAATAAAATATTCCGGGCTGGAAGCCTCTCCCCACCTGCACCTTCCAAAGAGACAGAAAAGCGGAGCTGACGGGCGTCGGGGCAACTGCTGCTGGGAGAAGCAGAGGCAGAAGGGGGCTTTGCTCTCCTTGGGGGGCAGTGCCCCTCGGCCGCCACCCCAGGGGCTTCTCAGCAGGCATCTGCCTACAGAAGGACTGCCGCCTCAGTAATTAATTGGGGGAAGAGGGGAGAGGAGAAAGTGGGAGCTCCTTTCAGATCCCAGGTGGAGGATTGAGAGACCTCAGATCTGCAGCCGAGGAAAAGCTGGGTGGGGGGCTTTTCCAGCCTCACCTGGAGACAGGCAAGGAAAGGTGTCCCTGGGGTCTCTTCGATTGCTTTAGCACTTCGCTGCGAAACCCAGCCACAGCCAGTGATTATTTGGGGGTGGGGGTGGGAGGAGAGAAAGAAAGCATCTCTCATGTTACCAGGGGAGGAAAGGAGGCAAAACAAAGCTCACTCTTTCACTGAAACCTACAAAAAGCCAATCTACTGCATTCTAGGAATTCTTCGAAATCAGCAAATGCTCCCACTTACAGTTCTTGCACCTCTCAGCTCTTCAAGGGACCCCAGAGTCAGGTCCCTGAGATGCATGCACCAACCAGCTCCCACACATGGCGGCGGCAACAGCAGTCCCCTCTTCCAGCGCCCACTGTTAGCTCTCCCCATTAGTTCTCTAGCTTTGAATTGCTCCTGCCTCTCTTTCCTTGCCCTTCCCCCCCCCCCCACCACACACACATGCAGGCATCCAAAGGAGACAGCCGTGAACAGCTCTCTTCCTGCCTTCACTGCCTTTCCCAACATTGAAGCTTCGGAGATGCAGGCAAAGCCGCCACAGTGATAGCACCCTGAGTTGCTTACTTCTCCACTACTGCCTCCTCCTCCAGCACCTCCTTCTCTGCTTAGGGCGATTCTTAACTAACTGAACATGCTAAGGCAATTCAGGGCGCTACCTCTGTCGTGGCTTTGCCTGCATTTCTGAAGCTTCAGTGTTGGGAGAGGCAGTGAGGGCTGGAAGGAGCCAAGAGCTGCGCACGGCTCCATCTGCCTTTCCTTGGCTGCCTACACATTGGCACGGGGGAAAGGGAGAGAGGCAGGAGCTATTCAAAACTAGAGAACTAATGGATAAAGCTAACAGTGGGCGCTGGGGAGGTGACTGTTGTTGCCGTCGCCTGCCATTAGTGGGAGCTGATTGCCTCATTCATCTCAGGGACATGACTCCGGGGTCCCTTGAGCCGGGAAGCATGAGAACTGCACGGCCCAGATTAATTGCTTTTGGGGACCATTCTGCAGCCCACCAAAAATTTTCTGCCGCCACCAATTGGCAACCACTGCTCCAAATTATCTTTTCCCTTTCAGGTCACTTCCCAAAACATTGCTAAAATCTTACTTCAGCACAGATTATAAAACTAAACCTTACTTTGTTCTTTTTTTAATAAGCTGTTCCGTCATTTAAAAAAAAAGATTTGAATCTAAACAATTAGTCTTAAGCCTGATTTCTTTTTTAAAATGAAAAAAAAAAATCACTAAAGCCATTCATTAAAAAAAAAAACTTAAAGGGATAAAAAAGTACATGGTTTGCCCACAAGGTGGCAGGCTAATATAATTTTCTGTAGGAATCTTGATATAGTTTTATAAAGATACAAAAATAGCACAGTTTTTTATTCTATCAAGTGTGCGATTATATATTTTTCTCTAGAAACTCAGCTGATAAAATATGGTAAAGGGATATGACAAATCTTCAAATAGGTTTAGGACCAATTTACACGTACATCAGATTTTTGTGTGTCAGGTGTTCATATTCTTATACATATGTATGTCCAATATTTTTACTATTTTGAAATACAGAATGTATGCATAATTCTGTTAGAAGCTTTGTTCAAACATCATATTCGACTGAGTGACTTTGGTTGCTCTCAGTCCAATTCACCTCACAGGATTGTAGTTGGGAAAATAGGACAAATGAATATTATATATGTTCACTGACTTAAATTACTTATCAAGTAATCAATTATAATAGCAGGATAAAAATATAATAAAATAATAATACTCGGAAAAAATAATTAAGAAAAATTAGGGGGGGTCTCCTTGAAAGGTGCTTTTTTGTCCCTTTTCCCCTAGCATTTCTTTTTCTTAAAAAAAAAATAGAAAAGGTGGTGGAAGGTTTATATCATTTATTATTATTTTCATTTTAATTTGCATGTAAAACAGTTTATTTGAAAATACAACAGATCTAAATGAAGTGAAGCAGTTTGTCTCAGTTCATACAAAACATTTGTTTTCAGATAATGAAATACTTGTCAAGAAGTTGATAATTACATACTATTTTTAAAAAGTTTTTCATTTATATCTGTTACACTATATGAACAAAGCATTCATTTGTTGTATGTATGTATGTATGGTATGTATGTATGTATGTATGTGTTCACACACATACACACATCCAAAGTTTAAACTTTAAAGATTATCACATTCAAAAATTAAATTATTTCATCTTCATCAATGCTTATCTAGTTTTGTGAGATTATTCTTTACATTTTTATGTTTTTACTGTTTTGTTACTTCAGATGTTGTGGGGAAGGCCTAAATTGTTGCACCCTATGATATTTACATTACCATATTATTTTGGTGGAATATTTATTTTCTCTATACTTGATTATATGAGTTCTCTTTTAACTTTCAATTCAATTCATATTCTCTTGTAGTTAATTAATTTAATTGTTTTTCAATTGAGGTTGAGGTTTGAAAGCAAATAGTTGCAAATATGTAAAAAATATAATGAATTTTTACATGGCTGAAGAACATAACATGTATTTAACAAGGACGTAAATGAATAAATCTACAAGTAACTCTTACAAGTAAGTCCCCTGAAAACCTCCCCCGCCAGTAATAATCCAATGCTAAATGGCTATCTCAGAAGTCCCCCCCACCTTTTGATGCTTAATTGTCATTATTCTATAATTTTGAAATTTTAACCCTAATTTAATTTTTAATGGTAATTAATGATAACTTTTATATGTTGTTTTATTTATTGGTTATATAATATTGTACACCACCCTGCGGCACTCTTTGAGGAAGCTTAGTAGTTAAGAAATATGAAAAATAAATAAAGGAACAAACAAATTCTATAGTATTACTGTAAATGTACTGGAAAGGTTTCTTCCTATCCCCTTTGAATTAGTAAATTGTGAGAGTGAACATTCAAAGTTAGATCTTGCCTTTAAAGGATACATCATCCTGCTTGAATGTGCATTGTGGTGCACCTGCCTTTTGTATGCATTCTTCCACTCTAACAACAGTGCAATAATAAAAGAACATTAATGAAAGTACATCTTTTCTGCTTTTCAGCTGGAACAGAAGAGGCTTACATGACCTCAGCTACACGCTAGGCCATAGTAATGGCCCTTTCAATAGCCTTATAGAAAAGTCCAGCGTAACCTATTGCTGACACAGACAAATTGTTGAGTCTGTGAACACATTGCAGTTTGCTTCAGTTTCGGGTGTTGTGTGAGCATGATGAGATGCTTGCGTTATTAGAAAAGATCATAACTATCCTTCAGCTTAAAGTGGACATATTTTTCAGATGCAGAGTAGTGTAACACTTTATGAAGAACCAAGGTACCGTTCTTTCTTTTTCCTATTCACTCGATGGGAGAGGAGATATCTAACATCTTATGTTAAATATTAGTGAAATTAAAATTTGAAAAATCATTTTGTAATAGGTTGACAATAAAAGAGTATGGTCTAGAACCATACATTTGTTAGAAGAATTAAAGAAACTAACATGTGAAATAAAGCAGTAGTCGGATATGTTTGATGTTACATTTGTGTTATTTGTAACATGGCTAGATATCAAAAAAGGCTGAAAGTAGATAAAACCTATTAATTACCAAATTGATTTTGATAACAATTGCAGAAGATCAGTTTGTCGTGGGTTTAAGGAGGAAACAATTGTTCAGGAATAGAAATATTATATAGCAGATATGTTTTTTCTTAAACTTTCACTTGTATTTCTGTTTGTAGAATTTAGCCTTATTATTGGTTGCTGGAAGACAATGAAACTTTTTTTCTGTCTTAAGTAATTTTAAAAAATCAGTGATCTTCAATTATTATTCATTTGCTTTGTCAGATAAACATAGGAAATTCCAAAATGTGTGACGTGCACATTACTTCCTTAATGTCCTGCCAAACATTCATAAAATTTGGGTGATTTCCCCTAATCTGAGTCTAGTCCTAAACTGTTATTCCAAAATAGGTGAAGAACAAATTTATCTTTGAGAACTAGTCCCTGAATTCTTAATAACACCTATTAGATAAAATGTAATTTCAAATATTCCCGAGATATTATCAAGATTGATTATCCGAATAAATGCCAAATTGATGAGGTCTGCCTATTGGGTGGGATTCTGTTTGTCCTAGTGGATGTCCTTTGTCAAAAGACTAACAGGAAGACTGTAACTAGGTCTATCCTAAAAACCTTGAGTTGAAAAGGGCCATATAGGACATTAAAAAATTAAACTTGAAACATCTGTGGCAAGTCTAGCCTCTTGCACTCACTATTAATGAAAATCTTATCTATTACCTATCTTGCAATTGGTTACACAGTTGAATTGTTACTCTTTTTTATTATAACTCAATTGAAATATATCTTCATGTGTTATAATTCCATTGTTCAATGCTCTACACTCATCTTATAATGGTGATGATAAAGATATTATAAAGAATATATATTTTATGGTGAAGAGACCAATAATGTTAAAGAGCATACATAAGGAACAAAATAAAAATAATTATAATTCAATTAAAGGAATAATATCTGCATTAGTCAATGACTGTGTTCAACACCGAACAAGGATTAACCTTCAAAGGTAACAAACTTAGCAAAAACTATGATGAACATTTATCTTTGTTAACAGCTAAAACATGTATTGTAGAAGTTACCAGGGAAAAATAGGATTATAGTTATGTAGGACTTATTTTTCAGTTTTCTGATAATCTTCATTGCCTGTTCTTCTCTGAACCTGTACATACTTAAGTATATGTCAGTGGTTTGAACGTGTTGAGCCTGAGGAAATGGATGGGATTTTAGGGCTATATTCTCATGTGTTCTTTAAATCCATGGCCCTTCAGGCTAGTTAAAATGGCCTGGAGATGTTGTATGAGAGCTTTAGTAATGCATAATTCTTGAATGAAAGGATTGTTACCTCTGAAGGAGGCTTTGGTTTTCTCGAGAAGCCATCATTGGACCCCACAACATTGTGAGTAATGCATTCATATTTTTGCAAGCCATTTTAATTATATGTGTTTTAATTTCACTAAATAGATGAGTTAATTGTTGGATTGTTTGGAGATCATTCTTTCCACAATAATGTTTAGTTTTATTTCTACAGAAAAAAGAAGAATGAATGGGAAGGTCAACCAGAGGATTCATCTGGTAACCAATATCGGATTATTATCCCTACATTCCAATATAATATAGCCTATAAGAAGCTTGGTAAATGCATTATTATAAACAATAAGAATTTTGCAAAAGAGACAGGTACATCTTTATTCTTTTATCTGTGCATTAATTTCTTGTAATAACTTTTTTTTAAATGTGAACTTTTAAAAGTGAATACTTTTAATAAGTGGTAATATCACAATGTGCTGATGTTAAGTGACATCTTGTTTTAGTACAAACCTGACATAGGTTAAAATAATCTATAAGTGGTCCTTACTTAATAGCAGTAATTGGAACTGTAATTTCTATTTGCTGAACAATGCAGTTATAAGAGATGATGTCATGTGACCACATTGTTTAACAGCAGCAGTTCCTGTTTCTGTTATTTAGAATTGCAGCTAATTAAGTGAGAACTTCCTTGTGACTTCCTGCCTGCTTCCAACAAGCAAGCAGTGTCCATGATAATGCCAGCAGGAAGTCACAAGAACCAGGTGGCTTGCAAGTAGTCTGGCAGGCAGATAAGTGGCTGCTGGATGGAGCTGCTGCCAGGTGCAGGAGGATTACATAGTGGCTGCCACAGTGCTGTGCAAAGCAGGTGTTGACTATGTAGTGTAGGCAAGAGATTTATTTTTTTAATTTTTATTTATTTAGAGAGTTTATATGGACAGCCACTCACTTTCAACGACTCTGGGAGTTTTACAAAAAATAAAAACCCATATACAAAGAGTAAAAACAGTTCTTTAGCTTCTCCAAACCCATTCGCAAAATAGCCTTGCAAAACTGTGTCAAAGTAGAGGCCAGTCTAATCTCCGTGGGCATGGTGTTTCAGAGGAAAGTAACCACCACAGAAAAGATCCTTCTGAGTCCCACCAGATGTACCTCCTGAAGAGAGGGCAATGCAACATTGCTTGACTTGTCACTGTGGTGGGTCAGGTGTAAGTACTGGGTAGAGATGGTCCTTCAGATAATCTGATCCCAATCCTAATGGGCTTTAAAGGTGACAACCAACATCTTGAATTGTGCCCAAGAACAAATATGCAGCCATATGATGGCCATTCACTATGGGATACAGGATCCTCGGGACTTTTACTTTGTTGAGTATCATTTTAACTTCAAATGCTCACTAGTTTGTTGTGATTGTTAATCAAGGATATTTGCATTGGACTATAGAATTTATAAAACTGCTTGTATAAAATACATATTATTTCACACAGCCAGATGTGACAATTATTTGTTTTGGCTCAGGGATGTGTATACGAAATGGTACCGACCAAGATGCTGGTGATTTGCAAAAATGTTTTCGGGACATTGGTTTTGACGTTTCCATCTATAATGATCTCACCTGTAAGAAAATGAGGGAAATTCTTGGTGAAGGTACTGTTTGTTTTTTTAACTTGTTAACTATTACCTTAAAACCTAGTTTGGAGAACTTTTTCTAAGTTGATGCCAACCAGATACATTGGAATAACTACTAAAAATGCATTACCAGGTGTCTGGGAATTCCAAAAATTCCAACATACAGTCACAGAATGAGGAAAAATAATAAATCACATATCAACTTCCTTCTCTGGGACTTTGGATACCAATTTCAATACTCACGTTTTAGGATTATTTATTAATATTATGGGCCCATTTTTATACACAGAAAAATGCCCTTTTTAGTTGCTATTACTAAATACAGCTGAGTGACATGTTCATTTGAGTTGTGGTGGTACAGAGGTTAGAACACAGTACTGCAAGCTGACTACCAGCTGCCAGCAGTTCGGCAGTTAAGTTCTGACCAGCTCAAGGTTTACTCAACCATCCATTCTTCTGAGGTCAGTAAAATGAGGACCCAGATTGTTGGGGACAATATGCTGACTGTAAACCGCTTAGAGAGCAATGTAAAGCACTGTGAAGCGGTATATAAGCCTAAGTGCTATTGCTATTTAATGATGGAACATGTGGTTGATTTGCAGTTGCCAATGAAGACCATCGTGACGCTGCTTGTTTTTCCTGCATATTATTAAGCCATGGAGATGAAGGCCGTATCTATGGCACAGATGCATTCATGGCAATCAAGGATTTGACAATACTTTTCAGAGGAGACAAATGCCAAAGCCTAATTGGAAAACCCAAATTGTTCTTTATTCAGGTAAGAAGGTGTTTGCTGATTTTAGTTCTTAAGGGATAGAATGTTTAGAATGTTTATCGAAAAAAAGCTAGAAATAGCCTGATATACCCATAGATTTTAAAACAATCAAAACTGCAAATAAAAAGGGTTCAAAATTCACAGACATTTTCTTGTATAATATCATATAACTTACACTTATGATCCTTGAAAAGTCTAAATCTTTCCTTTTTTGTACTGCACGTACCATAAGAGATCACAGAAAGTACCTGATTGTTCTCCTTTTACCCTTTTGTGGATGCGGTGGCCCATTGTTCTATAATCTGTATTTCTCAGTGTGGTGAAGGATACTAAGCGCAGCTGGACTGAGATTAATTTTGTTGAAAAAAAAAAGGTATAATCCTATCAATGAGAATTATGCTAGATAGGCTAGAAATTTGGCTTTGTATAAAGAAGCTTCACATATCAAGTACAGTTGCCAAATCTGTGTAGCTTTATCTCTCCAGACCTTCTCCTCTCATTGTTTATCTTTGTGACAAGACTTTCTCTTCGTTATTATGCATTTTGGGATAGCCCAGGGCAAATATATCTCCCAAAACTAAGTGTGAGTATAATTTTGAATACTTTATAAATAATAAATCATATGCCCACTACCTACAGCTTGGCCTTTTCTGCATAGTCTAGTAAATGAAATGCAGCTGGAACATTTATGCTGCAGCTCTCAGACTTAAAACATTTTTAATGGAACTCTTCACTGCTTGTCAGTGATAAAAGCCACCTCAGTGGTTATCTGGGTGGAATTCGTTAATATACAGTATTTAATTTTACAAAGTGTAACTATTTCTTCAGTCAGTGTATGATTTTTGTTTACTATGTGCCATTCATACATATGAGAATTATACCTACTATTTAATATGGTTTCAGGCATGCCGCGGTTCTGAATTTGATGATGGGATTCAGACAGATTCAGGTTCTTCAAATGACACTTTGGAAATGGATGCCAATCCAAGATACAAGATTCCAGTTGAAGCAGATTTTTTGTATGCATATTCCACTGTACCAGGTACACTTGGGAAGAAAAAAGTAACAATTTTATTTAGGATGAGTCACACATAAAGTGTGACAGAAAATGTAGCATTTGAATAGAAACTATTGGGGGCGGGGAACGGACATATTTTTTTACAGTGAATTTTAGAGGCAAATGCTACATATTAGTGATGATTAAACATCTAGCAGGTATTGAATGATGCGTGCTAAGACAATAAGAGAGATAACTATATAATTAGGGCAGGTTTGTTATCTCACAATTATATAAATAGGAAAAAGATCAACAGTTCTGTCAAGAAAACATGCCAATTTCTAAACTTGTGCAGTCCCAGGCACATACAAGTGCATGAAAGAGATAATGGTAGGATAGTGAAAACTGTATATACTCTGTTTCAAATTTTTCAATTCTTCCTTAACTCCAACACATTTTTTTTTTCTGGGATCTTCGATTTTCTATGCAAGTCTAGCAAAATATACAACTTCTTTACCAAGCTGTTGGCAAGTAAAGCAATTTCATCCATGCTCATAAAAAGCATCTTTCAGTAGGGCTGCATACCTCTGCCTAATATCATTTATGTAGTTCTCAACTTACAACTGCCATTGAGACTGGAATTTCCACTGCTAAGTCATACAGTTGTTCAATGAGTCAAGTGATAGTCATGAGAACAAAGACTGGTCATAAGACACTTTTCAGTACCACCATAACTTCAAATGGTTACTAGAGGAATGGTCATAAGTCAAGAACTACCAGGAATTAAAAAAAAAATGGAGAGTTGCCATGATTGATTAGTGTAATTTCATCAGTGGTCCAGCAAGGGTCCTTGATGAACTCAGAAGCATGATCTAAGGAATCATCTCCTACAGAAGTGGAAATTCTATTTTTGGTTAACATGGCTCATATCCATTAATTGAATTATTTTTAATTATTTTTATTTTCTCTCTCAAGCTAGTTGTAAAAATATTGATCATAGTGTAACTATGTGTAGTTACACTATGTGTAACTATTTATTCCACAAATTCATTATCATATATCATGAATATGAATATCATGAAACCAAAAATCATGATATTCATCATACAAGAAAAGCAGTGTCTCTTTCAAAATACCTTTCGTATCTTAACCTTCACATTCTTTTTAAATTTAGAAAAAGTTCTAGTTTATTAAAATTCTTAAAATTTCTTTCCTATGTGATGTATATCCCAGACATGATTTATTTCCCACGATCGTAAGGTTTTATTACATGTAGCGAGGATATCATTTTTCCTTGTACTTTACTTTTTATTAATTTATTCAATCAATTTATAAGCTGCCTCCATCAACCAAGTGATTCAAGGAGATAAACAATACTATAAATATTTTAGAATAAGGCAAAAGAAAATGGAATAATGGAATAATAAACACAATGCAGTCCATCAGGGAAGAACATACTATAAATAACAAGGGATTGAAATGTCAGTAAGAAATCAGAAAACAGTGTGGCTGGGCCTACTGTAAATCTAGTGTTAAGACTTGCCTAAGATGTGTGAGAAATTTCGTTCCAAAGAGCATAGGTGGCCACAGAGAAGCCAAGTGTTCAATGGGATATGGAGCATACCAGTTTTCACTAAATCTATGCAGGAAAAGGTGGTTTCCCATGTATGGGCTATAAAACATGTACAGATAGTCATTGCAACCAATTACTACTTTGTATTTATGACTTGCAGGTTTGTAAACCATAGGAAAGTTGATGTAAAATCATAAGCACAATTGTGGTTTTATTTAGCGACCATTTTATTTAACAACTGAGTCGCCCGTCGAAATTGTGGTCTGTAAATGAGTGCTAACTATACTAACCAGAAGCTTTAAAGACACTTGGAATCAGTGTTTCTGCCTTCCAATTCAGTGTTATTCTGCCTTTGGATTGTTGGATAAGATAATTAAATTTACAATATAAATTTGCACTGTGTGTTAAATTCTGTATTTCACCTTTTCTGACTTTAAAAACATTAATTCTGTCATTAAAGTATATTTCCCTATTCTTACTTCTAGGTTACTATTCCTGGAGGAATTCAGGAAAAGGATCCTGGTTTGTGCAGTCTCTTTGCTCAGTGCTGAATGAGTATGGCAAAAATCTGGAGATCTTGCAGATTCTGACCCTGGTTAACTACAGAGTAGCAAGAAACTATGAATCTCAATCTGATGACCCACGCTTCTGCAGGAAGAAGCAGGTTCCTTGTGTGGTATCCATGCTAACCAAAGAACTTTATTTCTGTAAATTGGTGCCACCAGCACAACAAATTTAAAATACATAATGCATTATAACTTGCAATACATTTTTAATCTAAGCTGTTCCAGCAAGAAGCAATCATAGACCTAGAGTTAAAATTGATGAAGGGCATTAAAAATACACAATGCCAAGATTACCTCAGTCAATTAATATATTGATTTTCACGGTGCCACATGTTCCTGTATTGTTGGAGGTGCCTATTCCTTGTTTCTATTTTCACCGGGAGCAATCACAATATTTCTCTGGAGTCTTTCTTTCCCCATCATACAAATAGCTCATTTTTCCTCTATTAATTACTTTTTTTAGCTTTATAATTAATTTATAAGAATAATTGTATATATTTGTCAAATACTCCAGTGATATCTGCAATAGGAAAAAAAGTATTAGCAAAGTTCATTTGATGTTCAGAGATAAAATTGTTGAGAAATCATCTAAGGATGCTTAAATACTCTTTTTCATCCCAGTCTAACATATAGAATCACTAGGTCTTATTATATATTATATTTAGTCTTATTATAAATCCATTATTTTGTGTATCACTTGATTTCATTATTATTAATTTAAACTCCATAATTTCAGTAAGGTCCAATCTATTCACAGTAAATCAGCTGTTAATTTAAGTAAGACTCGATGAACATCTTCCTGTTCCTTATTTTGGCAACCAGTTCTTATAAATGTAAGATACAGATGAATTGCTTATTTTTACCCTGAATGAAAAAATTACCCTTGTCCTTTTTTGACATCAATAAACAACAAATACAATGTACAATTTATTCTACACAAAAGTAATTTTGTATCAAAGACATTTCGTAGTGTAGTTCTTTAGTATATAAATTGAACAGTATTATAGGTTGTTAATTTGTTCAATGCATAATTCTACAAAGCTAGTAAAAGAATAGAAAATTATTTCTAAAATTCTATTTTCTTGTAATTATTTGCCACTGTTAACAAACCTTGGTTTTGTTCTCATTCTCTATGCGTAATCATAATCTTTGCCCAAACAAGTTTCTCTTGAAATGTATTCATCCCTTTTGGTAATTGTTGGTTTCTTATTTTCTTAATATACAATCAATATAATGTAACACATGTTTTTTTTAATTTTTTTTAAAAGCCTGTATTGTTAGTACATATTTACAATTGATTCTCTTCATAGATTTGCACATTCACAAATAGAGTAGCTACTTGACAGTTTAAGACAGGGGTCTCCAACCTTGGTAACTTTAAGCCTGGATGACTTCAACTCCCAGAATACCCCAGCCAGATTTGCTTGTAAAAGAACTTGTCCCTTTTCATGTAATTTTTGGCCCAATATACAGTACTTTTCAAAGGCCCCCACACAAACATTCAATATATGAACTGATGAAAGTTCCTGAACTTGAATCTTTGGGATCAAGCATGCTGTTTGGTTTTCGGTAGAGAAGAGAAGATCTCAGCTCTGTGATGACCTTGATGAAATACATGACAACCAATCAAAGTAGGTGTTATTTTGGGATGTAAAGTGATTACATTTCGGTACTGAAGAACGTAGTTATTTTCCTTATTCTTACATTTTGCATACAAAATAAAATTGAAAATGTAGATACAGAATAGCATTAGTAATGGGTACTGCAACAGTACTAACACATTCTCAGTGACTCCTAAGAATTCTTAAAAGTTTACATTTCTGTTCTATGAAGATGTATTAATGAGCTGTTTATCATAGCATTGAAAATCATAGCATCTCCATTAACTTTATAAGAATGTTAAATACTTTGAAATGTTTAAGTTAACCAGTGGTTAACAAAGGAAAGGAATATAGAAAAATGCCTTCAGTTTATCACCAAACAGTAATTTTCTACTGTGTTTGTGTCATTTGCATAATGAATTGTGGATTTTGTAATTTCTGATTTAGTGGTTAGTCAACAATAACAGGCACCCTTTATACCCAGTTACGCCGAGGGTATATTTTCTAAGTTTTATTTATGTAAGTCACATATGACCAATCTCTATATAAGCAAAAACCATGTTTGAAAATATGTTCATGAATTCAAGAAGGAAAAAATTAATGGGATAAGCATACTGGTGAAACTCGAAAAATTAGAATATCTGCAAAAGTTCATTTATTTCAGTAATGCAACTTATAAGGTGAAACTAATATATGAGATAGACTCATTACATGCAAAGCAAGATAGTTCAAGTTGTGATTTGTCATAATTGTGATGATTATGGCTTACAGCTCATGAAAACCCCAAATCCACAATCTCAGAAAATTAGAATATTACATGCAATCAATAAAACAAGGATTGTACATAGAACAATATCGGACCTCTGAAAAGTATAAGCATGCATATGTACTCAGTACTTGGTTTGGGTCCCTTTTGCAGCAATTACTGCTTCAATGCAGCATGGCATGGAAGCTATCAGCCTGTGGCACTGCTGAGGTGTTCTGGAAGACCAGGATGCTTCAGTAGTGGCCTTCAGCTCTTCTGCATTGGTCGGTCTCATGTCTCTCATCTTTCTCTTGGCAATGCCTCATAGATTCTCTATGGGGTTCAGGTCAGGCGAGTTTGCTGGCCAATCAAGCACAGTAATCCTACAGTCATTGAACCAGATTTTGGTGCTTTTATATTAGTTTCATCTTTTAAGTTGCATTACTGAAATGAACTTTTGCACGATATTCTAATTTTTCAAGTTTCACCTATAGATAATGCAAAACAAATCTGCATGTTAAGATTTTTTTTGTTTTGACTTTTGAAAGAAGACATATTCAGCATCTCACATCTGGAGAAATCGTTGATGGTATGCTGTATTACTATAATCCAGCTGTCATTACAATATGAGCTTCTCTAGGTTTGCTTTGTTTCTTCCAAACATATATTTAGTGCTCAAAAAGAAAATCATCTTTAGCATAGCTATCCTCCTGGAAAAGGACAGGAGTTCCTAGCAAGGATGGTTGACTGCTATAGTAGTGATCCTATACATTCGAAGGACACATTTGGGTGCAATATGCTGATGTCATACACCTCCCAAACAGTGTAAAGCATTATGGAGCAGTATGCAAGTTTAAGTGTTACTGCTATTGTTAATAATGAAAAATATTTGAACAATTATTTCCTCCTTTTCTCTCCATCTGTGCTTCACAGCAAGACAGTACAATTTCCAGTTGTGCAATCTATTTTCTTATTTGCTTCTTTTGTTTTTTCAAGTTAATCTTGACTAGATTGCCAAACAAATCTTAGCAACATTTTCAGAAGTGATTTGCCATTGCCTGCTTTCTAGGGCTTAAAGGAGTCCAGAATCCTCTACCTCACTTCGTGCCTAAGGCAGGGCTGGAACTTCCAGTTTTCTAGTTTTATCCTGGTACCCTAACCACTAGACAATGTTTTTAATCCTGATGACTATACCAAACTGGATCCCAACTGAATTTTTACATTTACATAGGATCTTGCTGTCTCCTGACAATACACCATTGATTTATTTGGGGCAAATATGGACAAGGAAGCTAAAACAATGGAAAATATTTTCTGATTTGACAGCGGTTAATGCCTTATCAGAAGCATTTGATCTTTTCTTATAGTTCTCGATACGCACTTGAACCAACAGAAAACCAGCAGCATCTTATCATCCCCATATCAAATCCCATTGCATCTGCCCTGATTTATTGTTGGATGATGCTCTGATTTAACATGTGAGGACATGCCTCATAAAACAAGTAGAAAAATTCTCCAACTTGGTTGCCCTCTCTTCAAATATCACCTCATTTGAAAACAATCCAGTTGCATCAGTGACAAGACTACTTCAGTATTTATTTTCATTGCTAACATTCAATTTTCTTAAATATTACTAATTCTCACTTGGATTTTCTCGTGCATTGTCTGAGTGATTCTCTTTAAAGCTTGACAATTTCAGGGACTTGTTACTCTGGGTCAACCCAGCTTCAACTTTCCAAAACCAATCCTCTTGCCTGCTGTTGACTCTGAATAAGACAGTAATGTCTTACTCCAGTTTAAATATTAGGTGAGTCTGCATCATTCTCTGAAAGATATCCAAATTAATCAACCAATTTACACAAAAAAGCCAGATAGGACCAAGACCAGCAATTGCTAGCAGTTTACAGGCCAACTTCTGTAAAATTATTTTACTGCCCAGGTTACATCCAGTAAAATGAGATAGATCTTCTGATGACTTTAAAAAAAAATGCATCACATAATGTGAGTTAGAAATTTCCTTGAGCCAGTCATTTACCTCTCAATTATGGGAAAAGGAGGAGAGCTGGAATGGAGTTTCAAACTTGTGGACTACATCTGAGGAAAAATCTATTTTAAGACAATTATTAGGGAAGTATGGGAGAAAGAACTCCCAAGCTCTGTTAAATGCAGGCCTGGAAACTCTGAAAATCAATTCTAATATGATCAGTGAGACATCAAATAAGCACAAGCATCTCCATTATAAAAAACTACTTCTGCCTCAGACTCCAACAAGCGTAACAAGAAAAGAAGGGAAAACTTGCTAAATAAAAATAAATCTCTGCACTAATTCTTTGTACACAACAATTGGTTTAGTTATTTATTACTCATTTACTTTGCAGTATTCGTTGCCATCTCAATCAGGTTGGCTCCTGGCGAAGTTAAAGAAGTCTAAAATTACATTAAAAACATAATGGCAATAGAAAAAAAACAGTACAACTTAGGGCCAAATGATAAGCGGAACAATGCTACTTTGGTCTAGTATTAGTTATCCAACTAACAGCCAGTCTTGGTCTTTTTGAATAAAAGCATCGTGTTTGGATGGTTTTAATGAATTACGTTGCTGCTCATTTTACATAACTTGAACCCGCATTGTATGACATAAATACAATTGAGCGAGTCCAGAAGTATTTTACCAGAAGAGTACTACATTCTTCTGTTCGCAACAGAATACCCTACAGCGCCAGACTTGAGATTCTTGGCTTAGACAACCTTGAACTTTAACGACAACACGAGCGCACAACAGATATAAAATTAAGTGTAAACCACTCCAAACTCCATTGCAGGAAGTATGATTTCAGCAACAGAGTGGTCAATGTCTGGAACTCACTACCTGATTCTGTTGTCACCTGCTCAAACCCCACTCCTTTACCCTCAAACTAACCTCTATTGACCTCACCCTATTCCTAAGAGGTCTGTAAGGTGCGTGCATAAGCGCACAATCGTGCCTACCGTCCCTGTCCTATTGTCCCCAATTATTATTTCCTATTTCTTGTATTTAAACTTATGTTTATTCGTGTTTCTGTTATATTGTAAGCTTTTGACAAATAAAATAATTGACTTTGGGAAACTAATAAAATTAAAAACAAAAACACCATAAAATAGTATCTAAGAACATTCATAGATCCCACTCAACCATACTATCAGTTTCACAGATGAAATGGCAAAGCCACGTTTTGAATGCCTTGCAGGTGTGGGGAACTCTGGTCTTGGAATGAAACCTCTATTTTGTTCTGGAGACCGAGGTGGACTGAAATGCATTAGTTTACAGTAAAAGTGACTCAAACTTATGAATGAGAAACAGTCACTTATAAAAGGCACAGCTGAAGTGGCCTGGAAAGGAGGAAGGACAAGGAGGGCATCTGGGACATCTGGACTGGTAAGTACTGCTATGCTGGACATTGACAAGCTAAGGCAGGTAATGGAAGGAAGCAAGATAGGCTTCTGCAAACCTGGGACATGGACAGCACCAGGGTCATGAGCTAAAACTGAGATAGGAAACAGCACTACTTGAACCAGAGAACTTTCGCAAACATGGAACATTTGGGTTTAAAGTCTTGGAAAATAATGAAGGAGAGACAAAAAGACTTGCAGGCACACACACTACTAATTTGCAGTAGGCAGAACTCTTGCTTATGTATGAATTATTTCTTGGGTGCACTAAAGCAAAATATCAAGCAGTATTAAAGTTCAGGAAATTGTACGAATGTGAAACATGAGATGGTGACTTTAAGGAGCCTTTTGCAGGGTGTGGGCAGAATTAAGTTCTGAATTCTAAAAACCTGAATAACACAGTGTGGGAGAGAATGCTTTGTCCATTTGTTTTAATTTCCATAAACTTTCTCTTGCTTTTTTCCTCCTCCTTTTAGAAACGCATCTACATATTATCCTGTGCAAGTCTCCCTCCCTCCCTCTCTCCACATACACATTTTGTTATTTTGTTCAGTTGTTTTGCCTTGCCACCAAAAATGGCATTTATTGAGATAGTGGTATTTGTAGGGCTTGATAATAGCTACCAATCACTAATTTGTTTTTGGTTTGTTGCTTTTGCTTTCCTTCGCTGTAAAAATTTTCCTATTCCAGAAATACTTAGGATGAGATTAGTACATACTATTTGGGTTCTTACTATTGGTTGATTGGTTAAGCATGTCTGCAATGTAATACTTTTACTGAGGTATCCAAGTAACTGAAACTAGTTTTTAGTCCTTAAAGTAAAGCAAGCAACAGAAAACCCCACTCCTGACACAAGTGTCTCCCTGATCAGCTGAAAAGACACAGCAAGGAGATCAATATTTCATTTAAGGTTACAGAACATCCTATTTTATGATATTTGTGGGTAAGAATACTGAAAAATTAACATTGTACTCTTCATAATATTTCTTTTCCAAAAAACAAGTTTTTTTCAAGAGAAAGGTACAAAGGTACGGGGAAAAGAGACATACTCTGCTTTTCATTTAAACCTACATTTTAATTTTATTTTATAAATTCAAACAAAAATAAAATAAAGATGCACTGTCAGTAGTAAACTTTTATTGCTTGTTTGAGGGATAATGGGCAAGAAGACATGAATTAACCTGTCTATTAATGCAGATAGACAGACAGACAGATAACCTGAGGGAAATAAA